TTCAAAAGTCAAATGTGCAAGTGTCACTACATAAAGATGACAGAACTATAGGCAAGAATTTGTCTGAGGGATAGGTTGGCAGAGATGATTCCCTGACTCAGCAGTGATTACTGTTCCTTCCCACCTCAATCTGAAACCTGTGAAACAGGTGCGTGCAAATTCCCATGTTTGTAAAAAAATGTTTTGCCAACACTTCATGCTGATCTATTTGTTTAGCATCTTCCTAACACCAGCATAGGGTCTTCTTTGATGGCCTTTGGTGACTTGTCTCACACCTTCTGCATGTGGCCAATCTTGCTCATCAAGATTGGAAACTTTGTAAGTGCAGTGTCCTGATCTACTTTTGCTAGGAGTTACATTAATATTTTGTCATTAAGCTTTTCTAAGATACTGGATTTATTTTTTTTTTTATCGTGTGGTATTTTCTCTTGCATATCCTGCATTTGTAGAAAGACTTTGTGTAAGTAAGGGAGACTTGCAAATGCCTGCTAGTTTATGAGTGGAAATAAGGAACCTGATCATCTAAATACTCTGTGTAGTCGCAGAGACAGAAACTGCAGGTAACTATTTGCAAAACTGTGCCTCAAGTTATTTGTGTCTTCAACTTTTAAAGAGAGAATATGGAATATTAGGCTATAAATTTTGTCATGCATCTATTTATAATCCACTTTGCAGCCTTTGGTAAGAAAGAATAGGACATTTCTTGAGCCAGCCTTTTTGGAATTCATCCTCACAAAGAGAATTCTCTTTGTTTGCTTCTCCAGGGCAGGTCAGGAGGGTCTGACTACACTTGACGGGCAGCCAGAGTATTTGCGCACCTCCTGAGCAGCGCAGTGGAATTAAGATGCCTTTTGTGGTCTTAGTTTTCCTAGCAAGCCTCACATCAGGAAGGTGGGCAGCACTTAACTGACCTCTGCACGAGGGTTAGTAGAACGGCATCTGTGGCAATTCTCTTGAATAAATGCAGGCAAGTTAAAAGGAATGTTGTCTTGTAGTAGCATGCAGTTAACATAGTTCAAAAGAAATCTTCAAAAGCCAATTTGAAGAGCTGATGTATTGCTATATACCCGAAATACAGGGGCATTCTTTTAATGAAACAATAGTGTTTTATACCCACAAAATACAAATACACAACTTTCTATTTCAAGCTCCCATTGGGATGCTAGCACCTTGTTTTGTGATGGAAATATTTGCTTCAAGAAGAAATTAATTTTAGGGTAGCTTATTATGCAGCACAAACCTTTTTAATACTGATTGTAAAGCTGGAAAAAAAAGCAAGAGAAATGTCTCCTCTTTGATTTAAAGCACTTAAGTTGTTATATATTATTTATAATTTTATCCTCAGCATGAAAGGTAACACTTCTAATGCATGGCCATCAGTACCTCACCTGCATTTGAAAACTGGAGTTGCATATATTGGTATGTTTTATTTTTCTTTTTTACACAGTAAAATGTGATATATGATAGTTAGTAACTTCTTATAGGTACTGATATGGGACTTCTTAGTGTCATAAAACCTCTGAAGCAGAGACTCCTGGAACATGAAACATTGACATAGTGCCTCTGGAGCACCCGAGCTGAAGCTGGCTGATGAAGATATGTTGTTTGTGTTGTTGTGGTGCAAGGAATTACAAGCACTGCAGGGTTTATTTTCTCTTTCTCGTGTGTGCACCCACCCACACACAACTTGCAGAACTTTTCAAATGTTGGAAGCAGAAAGCAATAGTCTGGCAATCTTCCCCTCTTGATGGCAGCGACATGGGAGCAGGGAGGAAAGGTGACCTTAAAGAAGTAAATAATCTGCTTTTGCCTCTTAATTTTTATCTGTAAATTGTTGCTGTTGCAGAAATTAGATGGCTGTCATAACCCACCTCATCTTTTAATATGCAGTACAAAGTCATATGCCAGTGCCGAAATTAGCATCGTCATCTTCTCTGTTGTCCGTTTTACTGCAGCACCGAGCTCTGGTCTACCCAGAAAATATACCTGTAGTGTCTGTTACTAGCACAGTCTCTTGTAACGTTTGACTCAACCTCACACACATACAAATTCACGACGTTTTTCTCTTCCAAGAATAAATACATTTGGAGCATCATCAATTTATATAAATATAATATAAATAAAGCAATGAATTTTCTTCATTCTCCTTATGCTAGTGAAATTTACTGGAAAAAAACAACAACAACAACAAAACAGATAATGCAGTTCCCCCAGCCTTATTCACACTGCAGTAGACGGCACAATTCTGTACTTACAGATCTTAACAGTGAAATGTCTCAGGATCTTTACAATTTTCTGCAGAACTGTTTGAAGCTCTCAGCAAGTCACAGTGTTCACCGAGGCAGAACGGAGCCGTATGGAATGTCTATGCAGCTGGGAGATAATGGAACGATTTTCCCAGCTGGGACTACAAGCCTTTTATCCACTGAGCATTGCGTGTCTCTTCTCTAGTATTAGCCGTGAAATACACTGCTTTCCCGCTGTATTCGTGATAGGACCCACACAATTAGTGCTTGAATCAGATACACAGAGCTGCTGTAGTTTATGAATATTGCTATCTAGAATCTTGAATGTATAAAAATTAGCTCTGTGCTAATCATACTTCAGGCAAGCTGAGAGAGCGAAAGCACAGCTGTCATACGAGAAGCATAAAAGATTAAATGTGCTCTTACTATTCTTTTCGTACAAATATGAGCTCCTGTCAGGTAATCAGAAAACCTCTCCCCTTGAAAACTGGGTCACCACTCAGTATTAGATTAAGAACAAGGATGGAAATAATTTTGTTAGGTTCTTGGTCCCACATTTGCTTCTTAAAATTAAGCTCATAGGATGCAAGTTTACACTCAGATTATGTTCCAGCACTGACTGTGAAACATTTAACTAGCCCTTCAATGTTTTGCGTTTTAAGAAAGAAAAGCTTGCTTGTCTAAAGTAGCACAGACATAAATCCTGATTATATATAAACTTCAAACCTTCTTAAATTTCCACTGTTCCTCTTGGGATTGCTTTAGCGCGATCAAATGGAATGCCTTTCCCTTAGTAAGGAAAAGTTATTTGTATTCACAGAGGAGAGAAGTGGAAACAGCAGTTTTCAGAATGTTTCTTCCAGTAGCAGTGCGGTTGTGTCACAGCCATTGCTTCACCACGTTTTAATGTAATCTCAATGTAAATCTATTAGTTCGTAATGGGATTAATTGCATGCCTGTCTGAACAGTGGGGAGTTGAGAGGAAGTAGAAGACAGGTGACAAAACCACATGGAAGCAAGTGCATGTGTCAGGTAGGCCCAAATAAGGATTTAGGGGAAAAAAAAACACCTGTTTGTGTCTTCTTAACCCATTTGAATTTAGCCCACCTGGCAACATGGCACCATGGAGCAGACCCCTCTGTTCCCAGTGTAACTGCTGATTCCCGAGAGCTCGCGTTTGCTCCAGTCGGAAGCGTACGCGTAGCTATTCCCTCCATGGCCCTGCTGCACTACGGATCATTCGGGCTGCCCTCTCCCTCTCCCCTTTCCGCATGGCCATGCTGAAGCACAGGGGGTCCTTCCTCTGCTTCGGGGCCCGTGTGCTCTGTCCCCAGCCAGTCAGGAGCCCAGCAGCAGGACTGCTGGCCATTTATCTACTTCCACTTGAAATGGCAGTTTTGCTAAGGCACCTCTGAAGATCCATGAAAGAACTATAGCGGAAGAGAAAGGGAAGAAATGATCTCTCCCAAAAGCAGAGGAGGACATGTGCTCTGAGAAGGTTTCTGTCATCCGCGTGCAGGGAAAAGCAGTTCATTGGATGCAGGCTGAATGAAGAGATCCAGTGCCAGCCGATTTTCCACGGAGGGCTTCCCGCATGCCTTCAAAAGCACCAAGGCTGTCCTTAGCTGTTCTCTATCTGTAAATGGGAAAAAAATAGGATTGCAGGTAGCTGAGGGGTGCTGTGGAGTGACATTGCTATAGCCAGGAAGGTGACGGTGAGCGTGGAGGCAGTGGGACCTGGAGGCAGATGCTACAGGGTGTGTGGCAGCCCTGGGGGCGCAGGGCACTGAGCGCTGCCCCTCCTATCGCACACAGAACCATCCTCCTGTTTAGCAGAAACAATTTCACACTTCCATCATGCGAGCATCTCAAATGAGCTGTACCGACAAGTAATTAAGCCTTGCAGCACCTTCCGAAGTAGACAGGCATTATAATTAGCAGTCCTATTTTTAATTAGGAACAAAATTTGAAATGGAATCTGAGTTATTTCCTCATTAAATTTTTCTTTTAAATAATGGGAGTGCTTTTTCTAATTTGTATCAAGCATAAATAGAGAAAGACTTCCTTACAGCAGATTAGCCCAGTCTTCTTGTTGCAAATTTTAAAAGTGTATTAAAAAACAAATATTTTCTCTATCGAAATAAATGATTTTGCATTTGCATTGATTGTCTAATAAGACTGTCTGGGAACAGGACCTCTTGGTTGCTGGGGAAATTAATGCTGTCAAAACTTTTTTGCTTCAAACTGGGAATATAAACAAACAGTTTAGAAATGTCCCTTAATTCTGTAAGTAAATTATCCATTGCAGGATGTCCCAGGATGTTTTTATTTTCCAGAAAGATTAGAACCTTTAAATACTGCTCAGATTTGAACATATGAATCTTTAAATTGTGCATTATTAGAACTTGTTAAGTTCAGAATTTGAATTTCTGAAGACTATATTATACTTTAATAAAGGCTATGCCAGCATCTCTTAGCATCGAATCAGAAAGTGATGTTAAATTTAAATATCAAAACAGTCTGTTCCTAAAGGTCAAGACAGAACATTTAAATGTTACTAAAATGTTGTGTTTTTTCCCTAATTTTCTTTCAAAACAAATCTTCAATTACATTTCTTTGCCAAATGTTTCACTTTTGAAGAATTGCCATATTTTAGCAGAAAATAAGATGTCCAACAGTTGTTTTTTAAAACACAGATCAAAAGGCCTACTTTAAAACATGTTACTGTACTGTATTTCCAGGAGTCACAACCCCCTTAGACAATTCATTTCAACCTCTAAACCTACTTGCTACTTATGTCTGGGTTTTGAGGGCATCAGAGCAGGAGATGCTGCTGTCCCTAAGAGCAATTTAGGATGGGATTCCAGTTACCCCAAAGACAGCACCGGTGGATGAACAGATAAAAATTTCCAGAGCTCAGAAGGAATTGCACAATGTCCTTTTGTACCTTTCAGGACACTGTTGTATACTAAAAATAATGCACAGATAGGATCTACACTTTAAACTAGAAGGTAGATTGGATCTAGAGTACAAGCTGGAAGACAGAAGTGAATTAGGAGGTGAATTTGGCCAAGGTGTTTCCTGAGAAAATTTTGAGAAGGTCTGGAAGACCTGCTCTGTATTTTCTCTGTAAAAATTGCAGGTGCCTTCAAATAATACATGCACTTTTATAAGTGCTATCCCTACACTTTTAAAAAAGGAATAGAGCTTTCTGGCTTACTGCTGATTCTTATTGGTTGTTTTTCTTGTGTTCAGTTTTTCTATCTCTTCTTTAGACCTCATAGAAGATTAAGATGTCTTTAGCACCATTGTAAGTGAATTAGTTCAAGGACTAATATGATGTGGACTGTTTTTTCTGTTGTGCTCAAACAGCAACTTGTCCTTGAGCTAGTCCCTGTGATCACGAAGGCAAAATTTAAGGATAAAGATGAAACCCACTTGAACAAAGGAATATGATTGTGTCCCACTGTGTGTGTTGTTCAGTCAGTGCCATCTACAGCTTTGAAACTGATCTATTAAGCAAGCTAAATTGCTGTTTGGGATTAATGCTGTGTGTATGGCTTTGGTTACTCTAAAATCTTTGATCATCTCTGTGAATCCACAGCCACTGCTCAAATAAGATTGAAAGTACATTTTTTAGGGCTTGTGAGGTAATCATTGCAGAGGCAACGCTCCTGGGCCTCAGTCACTAACTAAAAAGATTTTATACAATTAGTGGCTCTACTTCAGGCATCCTGTGTGATGTTGGAGGAAGTTCCTACCTAAAGCTACCCTTGCTGCTTTTACAGAACTTCACAGTGTTTCTGTGTACTGCTGGCAGGTAATTACTTTTAAATCATTGCTTAGTTTTCCCTCAATCCTGTTAAGACGTTTTCTGAAATAAATAGCAACACTCAGTAATTGCAAAAAAAATACCAGGCGAATGCACCTCTGCAATTCTTTTTTTTTAAAGACAGAATTAATTATGTAATTGTAGAAGCAGGCTGTTCTATGACTTTATCTCACAATAGCTTTGGAAATCTTGCCAGAGAGGCATCTGCTAACTGAGAGATGTATGTTGGAACATGTGGCCAAACTGAGAGCAAAAATTTTTAATAAATCACTTATAATAAAAATTAAAAGCAATACAAAGTTAATGGAGATACCAAACAAGCCAGAAAGTTCAACAGTAGATTACATGGTTGTGGGTATCCATTCCGATGTTCTGGCATTCAAAAAGCCTTGCAATCAAAGAGAAGACTGCATTATTTTACCCTGGGCTCCCCAGAAAGTTTGTTTCTGGCACTGTGTCAGTTCACTTCAGCTGTCTTCTAGGGTTTATCACCTTCATATTGAATATACATCAGATATTTCTAGGATTTATTTAATTGAGTTATAAACTGAGGAGCAACAGTTGTCTGAAGACCTAAAAACAAATTTTAAATGATTTTAGGAGATGGGACTACCTTTAGAGAAGGATCGCTATAGCAGTGAATTGTTTCAAGTGACTGGAAGGCAAAAATTAAGGTCAGTGCCTTACTGTAATTCCGTATATCATGACTTTATGTAGCTACTCAACAAGATGAGCAACTTTTACAGTGTGTTGCTATTTATTCATTAGGAAAGTTTTTCAGCTGCCTGGGTATGATCATCAACTCATAGACCTATATTGAGCAGAAGTCCCACATTGCTTATTATGCAACTGGAGAGAGCACGAAGTCCCAACAGTGTCTGCTCTGTGTGCTTTAAGAATTGTAACTCATGTGCAAGAATGTTAATCCTGAAAATTTAATGTAATCTGTAGGAAGTATTTTTTTAAGTTAGAATAGATTCTTCTTTCATAGTCACTTTTGATTCCGTTTTCATTTTTAGAGAAAAAAGGAAATTTAAGAAAAAGGGATCTACAGGTTTAATGTAAGCTATTTAAGCAGCAGGCTGTGTATTTAGCTTTCTCCTGAGTATAAAAAAGGTGCATTAAACAATATCAGATTTAATATCCTTTTTCATACCAGATCCATTAGAGAATCATAATAGGCTAATACAGCACTTTTTTCTGGCCTAACTGTGGTCTTTATATCCTATATCTACTTTAGATATAGGATAACCTTTTATTGATTGTGTGGTAGTGGTCGAACATAGTTATGGACAGCCTAATACATAAATTGACCACTTGGTAATGCTTTAATTACACAGGGTGAGCAATTACTTTCCAGGTGAACATGTGCATGCACAAGCACATGTACACAAACATGCAACTTAAACCAGAAAAGCAGAGCTTTGAACTGCTGAGTCTCTACCTCAATGAGATGAGCAGAGGAGGAAAAAAAAACATTCAGTGATGCAGTTAGTCCTGTTAAAGTACCAGATTGATCTCAGCCTCTAGAATAAATGCTAAGGTTTATTCAGTGTTAATCCCTGTA